AAGAAGAAGCAGTAGACATTAACGCTGTGTCTCATGATAGAAACGAGGTTAATCACAGAAAACGTCGCCGGAGAAAGGTATCGAAGATCGACCGTAAAATCAGGAAGCAAACCAAAGAAATCGTTTAGAAACGAAGGCAGCAACACACCAGAAATTAAGGATCAGATGCGTGGAAATTTGCGAAATTTTTAAGAAACGGGTAAAAGACGTTGCCAGAGGATTCAACTACAGATAAGTAGAAAAAACTAAGAGAACAGAGGAAAAACTGAACTAAATATTGATGGGCAGGAAACGACGATTTTGCTCACAGAACAGAAGAGTGGCAACTGTCATCACGGATAGACAGGTGATTCTAAAACGAGACTGATAGAAAACTGCACAAAAATGAGGACAGCAACTCCCTTTATGATATCGGAGCCTACTGGTAGATTTGAACCTGTCGACATTCCACATATCTTGTCAGAATGAGTCTGACATGCAATAAAAGAGTAGTCCAAACGAAGAACGGCTCTTTGTGAAGACATCATTACAGTGGAAATCGTGGAATCAGTAGAAGAAGCACTGAGAAACATATTGGTGCGCTTTTCATGGTGTCTGAAGGACCTGAAAACTCTATACTACTGGACTATCGCTTTGGTGATTCTATTCCATAAAAGGGAGACAGATGATTCGAAAACCTTCAAGCCTATATCACCTTGTTGCCGACCATCGAGAAACCTTTGCAAAGTACAGGCTTCAAATGAAACTCGACCTTAAACATCCAAAGAAGCTAGCAGTATTCAAAAGTGGATTTAGTAGAGTGCATCATCAATAATCGACAAGCAGCGAATATCAGCTTCTTATCTGCCTTGGGTTCGTCGATTTCGATAAGAGTTTCTATTCAGTCTATATCCGTTGTGTACTAAATTCCTTGAGGAGCCAGGGAATCGAGCAAAGATACAAACTTGATCGCCACGATTTACAAGAGTGCAACTGCTTAGTTGAAGCTTCACGATATTGCAGCCGGCTGGGGGGTTGCTAGCAAACAGGACGCGGAAACTGCTCACAGGACTTTTCTTGGAAGCGCACCGTACATACAAATGGCAACAACTGCCTGCACGAGATACCATGTGTCCATATATACATAGTAGTCACTCTATTACAACGCTGACTGATCTTTTTACATGCCTGCGGATTCTCTGTTCATCCTCAGGAACCAATCCGTGTTGACCGGCAAGCTGTACTTGCGGTGCGAGGCGCGCCTTTGTCTTGCGACATGCGAAAGACGAGCGCTTTCTCTTTTTCCGGTCCATGCTTTCGGTCCTTTGTTGGAGGCAAACGCTCCTTCTTTTGATTGAACCATGTTTCCGGGCCTTTGTGTGAGGCGAGAGCTTGCCCTTTTGTTCGCCTCACGTTTAAGGTTGTTTGCGGGGGCTGCGTCCAACTGCTTCCGCTTCGTTACAGTTAAAAATTGAAAAGGACGTTCGACAGTTGTGGTGACCCGTCAAAATAGCCCAACTCAAAATAGCCTTCAATCAGAATAGCCCCCAAATAATATTATGCTAATTATTCTGCTGATTAGCATAATCTTTCAAATTTTCGTCGGTGAACCTTCCGTCGGTGAACTTTCCGGATACCAAGATAGCTCACATCAAGATAGCCCACGTCACGATAAAAACTTCATCCCAGTCACTAACTATGGAGAAAATAGAATCTCAGTAAGGAAAAGACTTGTTATCACTAGACGGGTTTCATTATCGAAAAGCGAACGTCAATTCAAATCGTAGTGCATCACGGAAGTGTGTCACGCCCAACTATAAAGGAATATTGAAGGTATGTGATGAAAGGTTTACGATTATCACCGAACACAGTCATCCCGCACAGAATGAAGTTGCAAAGTCAGTAGCGGAGATGTATAGACGTGCTGCTGAATGCCTGGGGAAACCTCGCCAGTTAATTCAACGCTGCACTGGAGTTATTTCACTCGAAGCACCATGACAACTACCAACATATGCAGCATCTCAACGGGCAGTCGAACCAAACGAAAGATATCCCAACTACCGCTTATGAATCCGACAACAAATGCATAAATTGTCATTAGTGATTCTCTCAGAAACAGTTAGAAAAATCTGAATTTCCTTCCCTGAGATTCTCGAGAAAATGATGCTAATCGAATCTTGATGTTTGGAACAGAAGCAAGTCTGAGTATTTTGGAGCAACATCGCCATTGGTTCATGGGTGGAACTTCTAAGGTGGCTTCAGAGATGTTTTTCCAAGTCTTTTCTATTCATGTATTGATCGATAAATCAGCCGCCCCTTTGATATATGTTCTTCTGCGATCAAAATTAGACGTCCTACGGAAAAGTTTTCCAGAAAATTTTACGTTTAAAACCAACATTGAACCCGGTAAGTATGATGGCCGACTTTGAAAAAGCCAGTCTCAAATCCATGAGTTATGATCTTCCAGCCGTTCAGCTGATTGGATGCCTCTGCCATCTTGGTCAATGTTTATGGAGGAAATTACAGGATCTTGATCTGGCTGACCGTTATCCTGACGATGAGTAGTTCCGTGTACATGTCAAGATGATATTGGTTTTGAGTTTTGTTCCTAGTGCTGATGTTATAAAAGGATTCGAAATATTGGCGGAAAGTTCTCCTAAAGAAGTCAATTCAGTCCTCGACTACTGGGGAAGATAAGTATATTGGATGACAGAGATTCAGACGCAAAGCAGCGCCTCTTTTTTG